TTACCAAGAGCCCTAATTCTGACCCTGTGACTGTGGCGCTGCTGTAGCGGTCGTAAGTAGGAGGACTGGTGGTAAATCCATTTTTTCAGTGCCAGCCTAGAATGGACCTTGGGCCCACCTGTGCTGAGGGAGAGGTTAGAGCCGATTTCCGATGTAAAGCCAGGGAGCTGCTGGGAGGATGGACGGATCCTGATAAAGCTTCTCCCCCTCCCCTTCTGGTAGATCTTGGATCAACCTTTACTGCGTGCTCAGCAAAGGGGAGCTGGGCTTCTACAAGGACTCCAAGGGCCGGGAATCTGGGAGCACCCACAGCAACGAGCCTCTGCTGAGCCTGCAAAGTGGCGGCGCGGAGGTGGCCAATGACTACAAGAAGAAGAAGAATGTGCTGAAGATCAAGTGAGTCTCCTCCCAGGGGGAGGTGTGTCTGAGCCAAAGATGCAGACCCCGTGGAGGGACTGGCAGGGTTGCCAGGAGGGGACCAAAACTGCTCCCCTATTGATGGGATTCTCCCTTGCAGGACCAACGACGGGGTTGAATTCCTCCTGCAAGCCAAGGATGAGGTACAGTCTTCCTCCCCTCCCCCCAGCCCCAGGGCACGGTGGGACCCCCCCTCACAGACCTGTAAGGACCCTTCCCTCCCCAGGAGGACATGAAGACCTGGCTGACGGCTCTGAGTTCATCTATTGCGGAGCACGGGGAGATCACCCGCTGGGGCCAGGCGCTGCTCACCACCTCCTCCACAGATGAAGGCCTCCCCAAGCGGGACACTGACAGAAGGTCCAGTACCTCTGGCAGGAAGAAATGAGGCAGCTGCCCCCCCCCAGCCCCTGCCCTTGAGGCTGGGAAGGAGAAGCAGGCAGGCCAACGTAGCCTTGGTGTGTGGAGAAGACTTTGGGGTGGCTGAGAGACTGCCCAGCAGGAGCTCTGCCAAGAAGGAGGGATGGGAGGGGACAACCTCTGTGAAGCAGATGCTGGACCTGTGTGGCTGGACAAAGAGCTTCTGCCTGCCCCATCTCTTCTGACTGCTAGGAGCTGAGAGGTGCCCTCAGCCTCGGGACAGAGTTTTGCCTTCCCCGTGAATGGCAACAGGAGACCAAGTGCCCCCGGACTTTCCCCACTCCTTTTTTATCTGTCCTGGCAGCCGGACAGAAGGATCCGGTCCACAAGGTTCCTTTTGCTCCTCTGTTCGGTGGTTACTGCAGCTCCCCAGAGGGGTCCCACCGGCTGACGAGCGCTGAGCCCAGCCAGCAGGGAGGAAGCCAAGCGATGGCAGAGGGGACTGCAGAGGCCGAGGAGTCGCATGGAGGAGGAACACCTCCTTCCAGCTTCACATCTCTCAGAAATGGTGCTACTGTGGGTGCCAAGGACGGTGTGTATGTGTGGTTCTCAGGGCTTGCTGCAGGCCCTTCTCTGCACGAGTCTCCTTACCCGCTCACCCCCCGCATTCATCTCACCTGGGTCACTCATGCAAGAGAACATCGCACCCACACCGTCCTGGAGGAACGAGACACTCTTCTGGGTTCAGCTGCCGCCTTCAGCCTGCCTTGGAGAAACTTTCACATCTGCTCCCCAGGCGATTGCCTTTGCCTCCCACCCTTTCAAAGGTGTGCTTGGACGCATGCTGGGTAAGCCTCTGGGATAAAGCCCACAAAGATGGCCTGGAGGGGGTGAGGGGCAGAAGCTCTTCCAAATGACCCTCCAGAATTTCAGCCAGCGTCTCCGAGAAGTCTCCCACTTTGCTTGTCAACCGCACCTTGAGCACCGTGCTTGGCTCCTGGAGCTTCCTGCTTTCCAGGATGAAGAAGGCCGAAGCGGAGAGTAGGAAGCTGCCCAAATGTGTGAAAGCCCCTTGTCCTTGTGAACAAGCCATAGTCACATCCTGCTCTTGCTATGAGGGAGGGACTCACCAGATGTATTTATATGCAATAACACAACGGGAGGCCAGAGACTGACCAGCCAGCCTCAGCGTAGCCCATCCCAGCTGAGCAGTGAGAGCTTGCATGGGAGCAACCGGACCTTGACTCTAAAGCTCGCCTCTGATGCCAAGTGTCCCGAGGGCTGCCCGGTTCCTGACTCCCACCGTCCCATTCGTCTGCCCATTGCAGCAAGGGGGTGGGAGGGGGGCTGCTCAGAAGCAGGAATGCCTCTCCCGCTGGCCACGGAATCGTGCATGCAGTCCCTTTCTCTGCCTAGCCCTGAATGTGCCCCATGCTTGAAGCAGCAGTGTGTAAGGAAGAGCTTGGTGGCTGTGGGCCTCTGGATGGAATCGTGCCAGGCGCAGGGAGCCATGGGGAAACTACACCACGTTCGGTGGCTCTACTTGGAAATTGTACTTCCTTTCATGACATGCTAACGTGGATGTACACCTACAATCTATAAGATGCAAAAATAACTAGGGGATTTGAAATTAAGTGTGTGCTGAGCCCAGAAGAAACCAGTTTAATTGCTGTGTGGCTCAGTCATCTTTTCCCAAGGCACCTTTCTCCCTCGGGAGCATGCTTCGTCAGCCAGGGCCAAGGGGCTAGTTGATCAGTTACTGCTTCCTGTGGTTGGGTGACACCCTCAGCCTGAGTTGGGGCCAAATTCAGCCTCCTCTGGGCCTGATGTAGTTTCCACAGTGCTCTGCCCTGGATGGAGTTGGTGCAGCTTGTGTCGTTTTCCATCTTCTCAGGGAACTTCCCTGGTTCAGAATTGTAACTGCTTTTTTGTCTAGTATAAAGAAGGATCAATCAAAATTTGAACAATTTGGGGTCACATCTTTTTTCTAATTGTAAATTTGAAGACACGGTTTTTCAAAGGCCAATTTGTAAAGTCACATGAGATCAAAAGGTGGGTTCCTCCACACACTCCAACAGCCTAATATTTTCAGTCATTTTGCAAAGGTGCCCTCGGCATATGCTCACTTGATGGCCAGGCACAGTTTGGCTGAAGTGTCCACAGAGCAGCTCATCTTCCTTCGATCCCTTGCACAGAAATGATGCGACTCTTTGGCAGCCTCCCAGGCTCCAGCAATGGGGAAATGCACCAATAAAGGGAAACGGTGTGGTCCCAGACCCGGTTGAGCTGAAGAGTGGAACCCCGCTCCTTGTGAGACCCCTGTTAGAGGGGGGAGTGTATCTATTTCCAGCCCACCTGAAGGCCGATGCCAAAACCTGGCACGGGGTTTCCAGGCGCTGCTGCTTCCTAAAACTTGCTCGGCTGTTTCTTTGTGCCTCTCCCGGAAGGCGTCTGGCCAGATGCGATGACTTTCGGCTCCACACCTATGTCTCAGCTCCCTGGCCTGCCTAGATTGTGTCACGCGAGTCAACTATTAGCATTCGTCCTGTAGACGCGAATGGGGATCCGAGCGAGCAATAGCTCCGACACAGCAGGGTTTACCTGCTGTTAGGAAGCAACGGGCTTCCTTTAGTTAGCGTTTAACGTGTGAAATTCGTCCGCGGGCTTGATAAGCAGGTGCCGTTTGGAAGCGGAAAGGCCGCGCGTGTCTCTCCGAGACCACTGGCGGGACAAAGGCTGCAAAAAAATAACCGAGCAGGAGTCAAAGGAGCTGTTCGCTCCCTTCTGGGGAGTCGCGACCTTTCGCGCCCGGCCAGCGGCTGCTTCTGAACGGCTTTCCCCTCCTCGGGGCGGAATTCATCCCCCGCAACGAGGCCTCGGTTTGCGTTTCTCGAGGCCCCCCCCCATCATCCCGCCTGAGCTCGAGGGGGGAGCGCTGCTTGCTCCCCGAGAAGCCCCTCCGCAGGCAAGTGCCGGGAGCAGCCCCACCGGCAGGGGAGGGGAGGGGAGGGGGCGCGGCCTCGAAAACCCGCCCGCCTCTCCGGCAACCGCAGCGCCACCGAAGCCCTGGGAGGCGGCAGGACTACGACGCCCATCGGCCCCCGGGAGACTCGCCCAGCCCAATCGGGAAGCCCCAGAGGAAGGCGAGGCTGCCGGGGTTCCAGGGAAGCCAATGGCTGACTGAAGGGCGGCCCGCGGCCAATGGCGTGCGGCTGGGCGGGGCTGCCCTGCGCTGGGATCCGGAAGCGGTCGGGATGGCGGCGAGCGGCGGCTCGCCCGGCGGGAAAGGCCTAGTGGAGCTAAACGTGGGCGGACGCAGGCGAGTGGCCGCGGCCCCGGGAGGGAGGGAGGCGGGGGGGGGTCGGGCCGTGGCTCCTGCGTCCTTCACCCGCCTCCTCCTCTTCCTCCTCCTCCTCCTCCTCCTCTCTCTGCCCGCAGGTTCTGCACCTCCCGCCAGACGCTCGCCTGGGTGCCGGACTCCTTCTTCTCCAGGTGCCCGGGGGCGGGGGGGAGGGGCGGGGGGCGGGCGCGGCTCTCCTCCCCCCGCCTGCCCTGCCCGCGATCCTCACCGCCTCTCTCGCCCGCAGCCTGCTCAGCGGCCGTATCTCCTCGCTGCGGGACGAGACCGGCGCCGTGAGTGAGCCCCCCTCCCCGCTGCTAGGGGCGACCGGCGCCTCCCCGGGCCCTCGCCCGCAGGCTAGCCGCACCCTTCCCTTCCCTTCCTCCAGATCTTCATCGACCGGGACCCCGATCTCTTCGCCCCCATCCTCAACTTCCTCCGCTGCAAAGAACTGGATCTCAGGTAGGCGCCCAGCTGCTTCGGGAGGGGGCGTGGGCGCAGGGACCGCCGCCTCACCGTTTCTCCGCCTTTTCTGCTCCACAGGGGGAGCGACGTCTCGCTGCTGCTGCACGAAGCCCAGTTCTACGGGATCACGCCTCTCAGTACGTGGCGGGGCTGGGGCTGTGGGACAGCTATCCTGGCCCCCCAAATACGAGTCTGTGGACCTCCCCCCCCCTCCAGGACTCACCTGGCCTCTCTGCCTTGCTCTTCTTCGCAGTTCGCCGCCTGCAGTTGCAAAAGGAACTGGAGCGGTCCTCTTGTGGGAGCGTCTTGTTCGAAGGCTATCTGCCCCCCCCTTCTGGTAGGGCTCGGGCCGCTGGAGTCATGGGCTGCAGCTGTCTCCCTGTGGTCCAGCCAGCTCTCGCTCTCCTTTCCCTTGCAGTGTTTCCTGCCAAGCGGTGGAACCGCCACAGCATCACGGGGGGGCAGTTGACTGCCCGGCCGGGCAACCCCCTGGTGCGCCGGAGCAATACGATGCCCCCCAACCTTGGTGCAGGGCTTCTGGGGAGAGTGGAGGAGAGGAGCACGGCAGCCGGTGGGTGTCAGGAAGGGAAGGGCGGAGGCAGACCTGGGAAGAGCAAGTGCTTAAGGCATGGAGGGTGGCTTGTGGGAAACACTCTCTAGATTTTGGAAACCAGCTGCCAACATCCGCATTGCACCCTCCCTCTAGGAGCCACAAATGATCCAGGCATGGTTCGTCTTATCTGTGGCCATCATAACTGGGTCGCTCTGGCTTACGCTCACTTCCTTATCTGCTACAGGTAAGTGCGGGGGGCACAGCTCAGCATGGGGGGTGAATGGGAAGAGACTGGGCCCCCTCTGCTTCCTGACTAATCTCTTGCCCTGTAGGGTAAAGGAGGCCTCTGGCTGGCAGCTGGCTTTCTGTAGCCCCCGGCTGGACTGGGTCATCGAGCGTGTGGCATTAAATGCCCGGGTGCTTGGTGGGTCCCTGGGTGATAGCGACAAAATGGTGGCTGCTGCCTCCTGCAGCGAAATCCTTCTATGGGCCCTTCAGCCTGACGGGAGCGGCACTGAGATTGGTGAGAAAACTACCCCCACATGCATCTTTAGTGATCTAAAATGCCTCTTGGATGAGGGGAGGCCAACTAGACTTCCTGGATGCTGGCCTTGCTTGGGCTAAGGTAAAGGTTTATCCTTCCGTGTAGTGGGATCAGACTAAAGGAGGTTGATAGGCAGCTGCCAGGAACCTCCCTCTTTGTTCTTGTGTGAATGTCTCAAACCTGTTCCCAAAGCCCAGTTGGCTCTGGTCGGTGAGTCTTGCGCTCCGAGACCACTGAGGAGGGCTTTTGAAGAAGACGAGGAGAACCTATAGATGGGGATCTGCAGTCTCAACTGCTGTTCCTGAGTTGGACAGGGAGGGGCAGGCACTCCAGTTGGCCTCCTGACCCAGCAGGGAGCTGCTTGTGGGCTCTTCGGAGGCAGCGGGTTCAGGAGTCTCCTGAGCCATGGGCCCAATCCTGCAGCCTCTCCTGCTCTTCTCCCAGTTGCTTCTTTTGTTCTGTAGGAGTGTTCTGTTTAGGGGTCCCCCTAGAAGGTCTCTTCTTTGTTGGCAGCCAGCTTATTGCCACCAGCCACACAGGGAAGATTGGCGTCTGGAACGCAGTCACCAAACACTGGCAGGTAATAAAGCAGATCAGCTTGGAGGAGGGGGGAGAAGGAGGATTCCCAGTAGAGTTGGGGAGGTGGCCTTTTCCAAGGAGTTGTATAATAGCTGCAGCTTTGGGATTAATTAAATACAGCTTGGAATGGGGTGGGGGTGGGAGCAGCTGCTGTTGAGATCTTTCAGTCTGACCTGTGGCAGCTAAACTATACTTGAAGTTTCTCCCCCCTTTTGAAGATGGGGACAAAGGTTGCTTGACTCCACTTCTCTGATTCTTAATCAGCTCTTCAGGATGGTCCAAAGATCATAACAAATTTTTAAATAGGTCGTCTACCAGTTCCTGTAGCACTCTGGAATGTAATTCATCTGGCCACGAAGGTTTAAGCTTGTTCACTCTCCATGGGTGTTCTCTAACCGCATTTTATCCGAGTCGCTGGGTGGAATATGTCCCGAGGAGGAGGAGGAGGAGGAGGAGGAGGAGGATGAGGAGGAGGAGATTTGATCCCAGTTGGGGTTGGTTGGCTCTGCCTTTCCTTAGTAGGGCATTTTATCCTGTTTGTGGAACAGCTTGAGCATTAGTGCATTAGTGAGCAGCTCCTTTCATTTAGAACATTTGTGAAAAGTCTTTGGTTCCTTGAAGTTTTCCTGTTAATCTCAGCTGATGGAGTTTCTCAGGTCAAGATCTGCTTCAATTTTCATAGCAGATAATTTTCCAGTTCTTGGAGGCTGTGACCTCCAGTTCCCTGATGCCCCCTGTTTCTCACCAGCTGCTCCACTTCCACAGACTCAAGATGTGGTTCCCATCAACAGCCATGATGTCGCGGGCTCCTTCCTGCTCCTGGGCTGCCACAATGGCTCCATCCATTATGTTGGTGAGTCCCAGCCAGCCGTCCCAGCAGGGCTACTGTGGCTCTGTCTTGCCAACTGCCCTTCTCACCTGCCAGCTGTTTCCCACAGATGTTCAGAAGTTCCCCCTGCGCATGAAGGACAATGACCTCCTGGTGACCGAGCTGTACCGTGACCCTGCGGAGGATGCTATCACTGCCCTCAGTGTCCACCTCACTCCCAAGAGCAGTAAGGGGCTCACCCTGGGGGGAATTACCAAGCAGAATTGGGCACAGGAGCCTGGCTCGTCTGCCCAGCCTTTCCCAGATCCCGGCTAGGCTTCGCCTCCCTTCTGGGCTGGGGCTGGCCTTCCTTGGCTGCAGCAGGTTTGTTTGCCTCTAGCCCTCTGCTCCCTTGTGCAGGCCACAGCGGAAATTGGATTGAAATTGCCTATGGCACCAGTTCAGGGATGGTACGAGTGATTGTCCAGCACCCAGAGACGGTGGGCTCAGGGCCCCAGCTCTTCCAGACCTTTGCTGTTCATCGTAGCCCTGTCACCAAGGTGATGCTCTCGGAGAAGCACCTTATCTCAGGTAGTGGCTTTGAGGAGGAGGGGCAGATGGGTGAGGCCAGCCAAGGGTCCTATCCCTCCCTCATTTTTTTCTGCCTACCCCCTAGTCTGTGCTGATAGCCACATACGGACGTGGACGGTGACTCGATTCCGTGGGATGATTTCTACGCAACCAGGCTCCACCCCGTTGGCTTCCTTCAAGATTCTGGCCCTGGACTCGGTGGACGGGCAGGGGGGCTGCAGTGCGGGCACAGATATTGGTAGGGACATCTGGGGTCCAAGGGCGGGGCTTGTGGCATCTGGGCCCTGGGGCCCCACCTGCTTCCTCCTCTCTCCCATCCAGGGCCTTTTGGCGAGCGCGATGACCAACAGGTGTTCCTCCAGAAGGTGGTTCCAGATGCCAGCAAGCTGTATGTGCGCCTCTCCTCTACTGGAAAGAGGTGGGTCTGCAGGGGGCCAGGCCAGCCAGCAGCTGTGCTTGCGGCCAAGCTCCAGTGGGTAAAGCCTGAGGCAGCTGGCTGGTCTCCTTGCAAGCCAAAGGTGGTCAGTAGCACATCCAGCTTCACGAATGGGGCTGGTGATTTGTGCTTGGCTATTTTTATCTCATTGGTGCCTCTCTCTTCCCCGCAGGATATGCCAGGTGTGTTCAGTTGACGGCTCGTTCATCACGGCCTTCCTGGTCCAGGACTGTGAGGGCTCCAGCCGCATCGGCTCCCGTCCACGCCGTTACCTCTTTACCGGCCACAGCAATGGCAGCCTCCAGATGTGGGACCTCACCACCGCGATGGAGATGAGGGACCACCCCCCAGGTGCAAGGGCTGGGCTTGGCAGGGGAGATAACCTGGGAGGGACAACCAGGGGCTCTGCAGTGGGCGTGGGCAGACTCGCCCCCCCCCAAGAGGGAGTCCCTACTGCCCTCTGCTGTTCGCTATGTTGTTTCTGAGTCTTGGGTAAACTCTGAGCACATCCTGTCCCTGCGCTGGGCTTTGGGTTGTCTTTCCATATCTGCCCTCTTGGCAGACTCCAATCTCTGCTACTGCCCTTCCTCCTCCTCCTCCTCCTCCTCCCATCCTGCAGATTGTGGTGGTCTCTCAGAAGAAGAGCTGCTGTCTGAGTTGGGGCAATGTGACCTGGCCCTTACCCACACCTTGGAAACGAGTCCTACGGGGTCTTTCACTCTCTCCAGTACTTCTGGCATCAGGTACAGATGTGTGTGTGTGCCTGCACAGCTGATGGGGCAGGTAATTGAAAGGGAACCCGCCAGGCTCTCCTCTCAGAGAGTCAGCAACTCCAGATGTGCAAGTCTGCAAGGAAGAGGACTGACTTAACCGAATCCCCAGCTTCCTTGCCTTTGACGGGCCTTAGTCTATTGCTCAATGGGATTGAGCTCTTCTCTTCCCCTAGATGGCATGTAATGAGGTTATGGTTCTCCTAGCCGCCCCCAGAGTCGAGACATCAGTGGGACCTGCGAGAAGCCATCGAAAGCTTCCCCAGCCAGGTTGGACTTCCAACGAGGAGACCACCACCGACAACAACTGGGCGGGAACTTCTTGGACCGATCTGCCGAGGGCCAGTGGCTCAGCCACTCTCAGGATGGGCTCTCTGCTAGCCTTCTGAGCCAAAGATCGCTCACTCTCCATCCTGTCCCCCTGGAGCCCACCCTCCCCCTAGCCCCATCTAGAGTGCCACTCAGTGAAACCTCTTTCTGACCTCTTGCTGTTCTTGGGGAGCAAGGGAGCCACCGGTGATTCCCGCTGCTGCTGCTGCATCCCTCCTCTTGCAGCTCCTGTGGCCTGGAGCTCTGGAGTGGAGCCTGCTGCGGAACTGCCACCCCGCCTCCTTCAGGGCTCCTCACCCAGAACTGTGTCCCAAGCCCTTTCCAAGCCTCTCAGGGCCTTAATCCTCTGGCAGGGTCGTTTTTTCTCCTCTGTGGTGCTCAAAAGCCGCTTGCATTAGGTAGTAACACGTGGCCTCTGCAAGGTTGCCCCCTCCCTCCTGCTTGTGAAAACCAAAGATATTTATGAGTAATAGCCACACACCCCCTTCGACTGCCTTAGCTGACTGGTTTCTCTTCCCTTCCTCTGGTAGATAAGGAGCAATAAATACACCTGGAAAGATGTTTCTCACAACCTCTGGAGTCTTATTGGGATTTGCTGGAGGGCAAACCTTTCCAGCACTTTGTAGAACCACCTTGTAGGTTGAGGTCAAAGGAGCCCAACAATCCAAGTTCTGGTTTTGGCCAAGCAGACCGGGGAGCAGGGGGGCAAGAGGCAGGAGCTCTGGAGGGCAGAGCCAGGGACAGCAGATGGGGCAAGGTCGGATGCTTCTGCACAACTGTAATAATGCGCTTACTCTGGTCCCAGAGAGAGGAGGCAATATCTGGTCTGTTGGTAGAAAATCACTGCTCTCAATAACCTCTGGAAAGAGCCGAATATTGACGTTGTGGTCCCAGAGGGTGATGTGGAATCTGAAAAATATGCCAGGTATTTTTTACATTCTAGTCATAGGACGATCAGCCTCTCAAGATCCTCTGGATCACCCTTGTTCAAATCTGACCACCTGAAGAAGTCGGTCCCAGGGAAGGGCATGGCTGGAGTATGCCACACAGCCTTCGCTTAGTGCTGATGGGAAGGAAAACTTTGGGCAAGCCTGGCTGGCCTTTGTGAGTTGGGCTTTCCCCCATCCAAACAGCTGGCCAGAATGGCCATGCAGGGGCTCAAGCAAATGACGTAGGAGCTCTGCAAAGAGAAAAGGGCCTCCTGGAAACAGCCATCCTGACTGTCCTGGAGGTGAGGGAATTGTCAGAGATGAGTGGGGTGGCAGAGAACGGAGCTGTCAAGGTTGTTGGGAATTACACTTGTCGCTAAGCTGTTACGTGAGGGTGTTAGTTGTAGAACTGCAGAAAGAACTGGGAGAATGGTGGCTTTTTGCAAGTTGCAGAGGCCAACAGTTACTGTCAAGGCAGAAGGGCGTTCATGAGTGAACCCTCAAGAGGTTAGCACTGATAGTTTATAATAAAGATGTGTAAGTTATGCAATCTGCCTTCTTCCCTGGAAGACTGGGAACATACGCAAAAGGTTTTTTCCCCTGAGTGGGAAATCCATGTTAGATCTGCTAACCCTGGGAAGAAGAATCTCTTTTGAAAAAGACTGGCATGGTGTGCCCTGCCTAGAGTTCTTTCGGATGCAGATGTTCTGGTGGGCGTTGCATGTAGCTGCTTCTCAAAAAGAGGTCTTAGTACGGGCCAGGTGGAGGATAAAGCACCAGGACCTGGCTGGGAGGTGGTTGTCTTGGTCAGGTGGCAGCACAGCCCCTGGGCAAAATGGAGGGGCAGTGGTCTGAGGCCGGGCAGCCTGGCCTGCGTGGAGGCAGTTGGGCTGAAGGCAGAAGGGGGCATCTCGAGCAGGTCCTCTCCTCCGAGGTGGTCCCTCATTCAGCCACAGCAGAGTCAGGTGGGTTGAAGGTCCGTGTCCCTGGGGAGGCTCCTACGTTTGCAGCTGCAGAGAGACTCGGGAGGCAGGTGGGGGCTCCAGCCCTTGGAAGGCCTTCTGAAGAGAGTTGCAGGGGCTATTACCTTGAGGGAAGGGCCATCCAAGGAGGGTTTGGAGCTTCCCTTTAGAGTACCAAACAATCCGGTTGCCAGTTTGTCTTCCACACGTCTGGGCTGAGCAGGATAGATCCCTCTGCAAGAAAGGCCGGTGGGGTGGGGTGGGGTGGGGCTTCTCTCTCTGTAGAAAGAGGCAAGGGACTTGCAGATGCCTCCAACCCTCTTCCCCCCATCTGGAAGTTTTGGAAGAGTTCCCATGTCCAGCTTAGTCCCCACCCCTCTGGGTCTGGCAGTTGTTCTGTGGCCCCCACCCTCTCCACCCCTGGCTAGGTTTTTCCAGATGATGTCATGCAAAGCTGCACTGGGAGGAGGAGAGCCGGTACTGCTCCTTTCCCCACCGCCCACAGGCCGCTTCCTCCCTGGGGAGGCCACCAGGAAGCCCCACCTCCTCTTGCTGTCTTTGACTGCTTTCTGCAAATGTTTGGATGGGGCTGGGGGTGGGTGGGTGGGGGGAGACATTTACTTTGCTCTCCCTTGAAACTTCCATAAATCCCAGGACAGCTCTGTTGCTGCTCCAGGTTCCTCCTTTTCCCTTTGATCAAGTGTCCCCCATTTTTCTGGAATGAGCATTCCCTAGTCCTCTTGATGTCTGAGAAGGCAGCAAGCAGAGGGGGGGGGGACGGGGGATGGAGAATTGGCTTAGAGAACAAGACAAACTCATTATGACCAGCCAGTGCGTGTCCAGCTGGCACAGATGTTAGCCCTGTTCCCAAATGGTGCCTGCTGGGAGATTTGCAAAGGGGGGGGATCTTCCTTCTGGGAACAGCTATTGGAGGAGAAAGACTTTGCATGTCAGACATCCAAGACAAAGCAGTCCTGTGTGTGTCAACAGCTGGGGAGAGGAAATGTGTGGGGGGGGCTTTGCACTGAGAAACCAGTTTCAAATCTTGCACTTCCAGGCTGAAAAAGAGTTGGCAGAAATGGGACAGAGGGGCAGGGGGGCTCCAGGCTTCACCCTTCAGACAGGAGGGGAGGGGAATGGAGGGAAATATGGGATGGGCAGGGCATCCTCTCCGGAGGAGCCAGGAGTGCTCCAGTCAGATTGGGCAGGAAGCAGCTGCTGGGGGGGGGCTGCCCTGGTGGTGGTGGGGGCTCGGGGGGGGGACACAGCAATTGGAAGCAGCGTGAACCAGCCCAAGGCAGTGTGAGGACCCCACGAGCGTAGTGGAGGAGAGTGGGTGGCTTGCATGGGAGAGCACATCTAGTGACACATCTGCTGCAGATGTTTGCAGAGAGGAACAACTTGAGGGACTTCAGCAGAGTCAGTTTGTCTGCTGGCACCTTGTGCTGTGTGTGCTGGGGGGCAGGGAGGCCGTTCTGCAATGGGGGGGGGCAAGGAAGGACGCTCTTTCCTCCAGGCTTGTGGAGAGCAGCTAAGAGTTAACCCTGTTCCTGGCGGCTGTGCTCCCTTGTAAACATTGTTGTTGGCTTGCAGCCCACCCACCCCAAGCTTGCTGCTTCCAATTAGCGGGTGGGTCTGTGTGCTCTCCATGGTGGGCGCATAGCCCTCCCTGCCTGCAGCCTGTCTGGAGCTGTGGCTCTCTGCTCAGCTTGGGGCCATGGGCTTCATCCACCATCTCCTGCTGGTGGTGCTGGTTGGCTTCTCCCCCCTGCCTGGGGAGGGTCAGCAGGTCAAGGTCCTCTTCACCCCCACCATCTGCCACATGCACTGCAGCAACAGGCGCTGCATTAACCGATGTGAGCAGGGCAACGCTACCACTCTGTACAGCGGGGAGAACGCCAGGGCAGTGGAAGGGGCTTCTGGATTCCGAGTCTGTGAGTACGGGGGGGGGGGCGCTGACGGTCCCAGCCATTGGCTTCTGGTTGAGATGATGGGCCCCTGATAAGAGACCTGCCCACACTAGTCAAGGGGGAGAGGGGAGGGAGGGCAGGGGGGCAAGCAGACATCCCATACCCTGGGCTGGGGGAATGGAATGCCCTGACTCCCTTCAGTTTGCAAGCCCCCCTGTGCACACCCTCCTTCCCTTTTGCTGCCTGGTCAGGTGCCCTCTGGGGGTGTCTTGCCTTACTTTCAGCCTCAGCCACTGCTTGGCAGGTGCCTGGTTCTCTGCGCCCCTCCTGTTTCCCAGGCGAGGTTCTGCCCAGAGATCAGCAGCTACCTGGCTCTCGTCCCTTCTGTAGGTCCATCCCGGTTTCTTCTTTCTGGGGCCCCTACCTCTTCCAGCTGCTGCCCTGACCGCAGAGCTGACTCTGGAGGGGAGTCTTCTGTGCCACTGCCCAGGCCAGGCTCTTGGCTCTGCTTGGGCGTGACTTTGCCTGGCAGACACAGGAGGTGGCTGAGAGCCTTGTCCCTGGGTAACGGGAGGGGGCAAGGCAGGGGCAGGCCATTCTCGCAATCCGGAAGCAGGTAGCTGCCTGCAAGGTGGGCTGGCCTTCCTCTCCTCCCAGGTGGGTGCTGTGGGGAGGTGTCTCCCAGAACTGCCTGGGAGAGGGGAAATCTAGGACAGAGGCACAGAGCTGTCTGTTGGGCTGCCTCTTTTCTGTCCCCCGATTTCTGGGAGGGGGCCACCTGACTGTGTCCCCATTCTTCCACAAGCTCTTTCTCCAGCGGCTTGATCCCACACCAAGGTCCTACCGGAGCCTTTTTAGGATCCGGAGTTGGGAAATGAAAGCATAAACAAGAGGCTGGCATTGTGCCACCACCAGATGGGGCCAGCTGCCTTGGGCTGGGTGCCAGTCTGCCTTGGCTCCAGTCCTGCCAAAGTTGCGGAGAAGGAGCGAGGCGGTGGCTGCCTTGGACCAAGAAAGGACTCTGGGCCCCAAGTACTTGTCTGGCCCACTACTTGCCCCCAGCGAGCCTCGAGCCTCGGTTCCCCTCAGAAAGGCAATGGCCTCTAGCTTGAGATCATGTGTGGGGGCGTTGGGAGGAAGGAAGGGAGGGAGGGGTTGTTTTCAGTCTCCTCCCTTCCAGTTGTTGTGCAGTTTGTTCCACTTGATGCTACCCAGGCCTGGTGTGGGTGGGAGCACAGCAGGGAGGGGCTTGGCCAGTGGTCCAGGGGCA